GTGAAACTTGTAATGCGAGTGTACGAAGTGCCGTTACTTCTTAAAAATCGCTATTTTCATTGTGATAATCATTTTATTATGAATAGTATGATGTTATTTGTATTCCAACGACAAATTTAAACAGCTAAGATATAGTTACGGTCAAAACCCTATTAGAAGCAACTGAATACGAGAACCCCCAATCACAAATTCACAGTAATGCGAACATGATAATGTTGTGGGACGCGATTAGTCAATTTAGGTAAACAGCATGACAAAGGAATACAGTAATTCTATGGCAACGCTTCAAAAAAAACATAGTTCATTCACATAGCGCCACCATGCGAGAGAATTAGCCACATGGATGATTCAAAATCATGAAGCTTCACAGGGTTACCATGAAGAAATATATATATATATATATATATATATATATATATATATGTTTCAAACAAAAAACCAAAATTAAAACCTACCCAGCAGGCAAGCTCCGAGCGTTTCAAAGATACTGGCAAGAATGTAAGCCTGAGTGAGCGTGATCACTTTGCTTCCCACGCTGGTGCCGAAAGAGTTGGCGGTATCGTTCGCCCCAATGGCAAAAGCAAGAATGAAGGCAATAATAGCGCCCACAACGATCCAAGGGACCAAAGCCGATTGGAACGCGACGAGGTCCTCAACCATCTTGCGCGGTTCTTTAAAAAAAAATTATAAGAAAATTTACAAGATTTCTGACATGATCATAAGGAAAAACGCAACAAGCATGATGCTTTGATACTATATAATTCATATAAGGTGGATCGCAATCTTACAAAATGTAAAATGACCTTTCGAATGCCCCGGAAACACTTTATTTCAGGAAGACTTCATAATTCTGCTAAAATTATATTGTAGGAACAAGGGCGCAGAAGTGCAAGACAGGAAAGGACCAGAGATTAGAATTGCCAAATATGACTAAGCAATCTCAGTCGTGATTACGTGTAGTGTCCGATTATTATAAGGATAAGCCTACTTGGAATATATATATAGAAGCTCGGTTCTTCCACTTAGTTTTCACTTATAATCAAGTCAAAAGGATTGAAAAATACGAAGCCTCAGTGTCTATAATAGCGTTAGTTTATCACATGAATTAGACACTGAACATCACTTCACTGGTTTTTTGGACTAGCCCTGAGGTTTTAGAAGCAGTGAAGTCAGTATTGTAGCTAGTATATAGTTGAGAATTTATAACATTAAGCGAAGTTTGCTTCTATGTTTTACATTCTATATCATTTTGAAAAAATTGCCTAAAACAACGAAATAAAACTTTCGAATGGCCCCTTCCTTAGTTTATTACTATTACCCTATATTTCTAGCACTACTATATAAGCCTATTCTGCCCGAGATTTGGGCGGCGCAAACTAACTACGTTGAGCAAAGCATAACTAGGAGAAAACAGCACAAGGACGTGAAGGTAAAATAAATTCATCGTAAAATGAAATCTGATAAGGAGGACATTCTGATGGCTAAGCACATTTGTGACTGATAAGAAAAACGGAAACAACTGCTCTGAAATTATCAGCTGATAATAATGCCCTAAATAGGTTGGCAAACATCTTGAAAAAGTAACTAAAACGAGATTCTAACTACTTATACCCTTCCTCCACTAAGTCTCAATAACTAAAAGATTTTATATAGTCAGATGCTTTCTTGTAGGTCAATTCATAATACATTATATACTGCTATACCATATGGTATACAATACGTACCTTGGGGAAACGGAATACGATAAGCTCGGAACTCGGTTGCCGGATGTGCAGTCGCCTACAGATAGGCGAATAAAACAGAGCAAGTGATGTGGCCAAACAGTATCTCTGGCGGTAGCTGTCGAACTAATTACCCCTGCAACAGAGTAACAATTAAAAGCGACTATACAAAATGTAAGTCAACGGCTAGATGAGGATCCATTAGAAAATAAATGTTTGCTTTTCAACGAGAGCGGGATAGAGACGCAACATCGTCGTTAAAGGAAGCGAATTGCACATTTCTCAATGCTTTAAGAATCATAAGACAGTTGTGCTTGGTATAAAAAAATGGTTCATGATGTAAACAGCAAAAGAAATGAATATCAGAAACAAAAGATAAAGTAGAAAATATCCCAATTCTGCGAGCATGAATTTAACAATTCAACAAATCAACCAAGAGTTAAATTTGCCTTTTACCCTTGCTTTACTTGAAAAAGTGTGTTATTAAATACTATAATGGCACTACTTTGATAAGGTGCCCCGAAATTAGACGATTTTTGGGAACATGGTATATGGAAAAAGAAAGAGTTCAGAAAAGCTCTGATACTAATAACACGATTGGTGGAAGTACAGGCGTTAAAAAGAACTACAAAAACATACAAAGGGAGAAATTATGTAGCCGCACTTCAACTAAAATGATAAAAGGCTGACAAGTCTGTGAAGGAAGCTAGCACTACCTTCACTAACGTCACAGAATCGCAAAGAAAGTTTCAAAGGCGTGAATGCTAATACAAGCGATTATGCTCGCGGCGCACGACAAAGGTCATTTTATTCGACGTCTTATGTTTGACCAACAACAGCTAAG